TCGGTAGCGACAAGGGACCGGTGCTGCCTACCTGGACGTGGACGGCATCATCGCTCTGGCCAGGGAACGCGGGTAGACGCCATCCACCCCGGTTCACGGATTCCTCTCGGAGAACAGCAGGTTCTCGCGGGCCTGCGCCGATGCCGGTATCACCTTCGTCGGGCCGACGCCCGAACTGCTCGAGGCGCTCGGCGACAAGACGGCGGCGCGCCGGCTGGCACGGAAGGCCGGCGTTCCGACCGTTCCCGGCACCGCCTGGTGCCCGATGACCGGACCGGATCCTGCAGATGGCCGAGTCGGTGGGATATCCCCTGATCGTAAAGGCGTCCTTCGGGGCGGGCGGCCGGGGTATGCGGGTCGTGAGCGGCCGTGACAAGCTCCTGGGCAGGCTGGAGGAGGCCCGGGGGGAGGCCCAGCGCACCTTCGGCGACGGATCCGTGTTCCTCGAGCGTTACATCGCCCGGGCGCGTCACATCGAGGTTCAGATCCTGGCCGATGTGCACGGATCCGTGTCACACACCCTGGGTATGCGTGACTGCTCGGTCCAGCGGCGACACCAGAAGGTGGTAGAGCTCGCTCCGGCGCCCAACCTCTCCGACGAACTGCGCGACGAGATCTGCGCGGCGGCGATCCGCGTCGCCCGCACGACCGGCTACGTCAACGCCGGCACCGTCGAGTTCCTGGTGGACGCGGACACCGGCGAGTGGTGCTTCATCGACGTGAACCCGCGCATACAGGTGGAGCACACCGTCACCGAGGTGGTGACCGGCATCGACCTGGTGCGGTCCCAGTTCCTGGTGGCACAGGGTTGCCGGCTGCACAAGGCACCCCTGTCGATCCCGCAGCAGCACGAGATCCCCGGCGAGGCACCGCCATCCAATGCCGGATCACAACCGAGGATCCCGAGAACGAGTTCTCGCCCGACTACGGCCGCCTCCAGACGTTCCGCACCGCCGGAGGGTTGGGTATCCGCCTCGACGGGACGGCCGATGCCGGCGCGGTCCTCAGCCCGTTCTACGATTCGCTCCTCGTCAAGCTCACCGCCTGGGACGCCGACGTTTCCGGTGCCTGCACCCGGGCCGACCGCGCTCTTCAGGAGTTCCGCATCCGGGGCGTCAAGACCAACATCGGGTTCCTGCGGAACGTGGTCAACCACGAGGACTTCCAGAACGGGGCGGTGACGACGCACTTCCTCGACGAGACGCCCTAGCTTGTTCGATCTGCAGCGGCCTCGCGACGAGCCACCGCTTGCTCCTGCTTCGATCGGTGACACCATCCTCACACTGGAACCCACCGTGGCTGGGAGGTACTCACCTCAAGTAAGCTCAATGCCTCCCGCCCGGCTGGTGCCGTTCGAGCAGGGCTCGGATCCGCCACCCGGTACGCGCCAACTCCTGCTGGAGTTGGGACCCGACCGCTTCGCCCAGTGGGTGTGGGACCGCAAGTGCTCTGCTGGTAACCGACACGACCTTCCGCGACGCGCACAGTCCGCTTCGGCGCACCCGGTCCGTACACTACTATCTGCTGGGATACACGCCCGGGCTGTGGCGAGGCGGCTACCGAACCTGTTCAGCGTCGAGATGTGGGGAGGCGCCACCTTCGACGCCGCGCTCCGCTTCCTCTACGAAGACCCGTGGGAGCGCCTGCGCCTGCTGCGCGAGGCGATCCCGAACATCTGCTTCCAGATGCTGCCCGAGCCTCCAACGCGGCGGGCTACACCAGCTACCCGGACAACGTCGTGCGCGATTTCACGATCGAAGCCGCCCGGCAGGGCATCGATGTGTTCCGGGTCTTCGACTCGCTCAATGACGTGAGGAACATGGAGGTGGCCATCGATGCGGTACGCAGCACGCACGCGTCTGCGAGGGCCCGCCATCTGTGTACCAACTCAAACACCGGCGACATCCTCGATCCGAGCCGTCCCAAGTACAGCCTCGACTACTACGTGGACCTGGCCGGCCAACTCAAGGATATGGGCACGCACATGCTCTGCATCAAGGACATGGCGGGGCTGTGCCGACCGTATGCAGCCGCCCGTTGGTGCGGGTGCTGCGGGAGGAAGTAGCCGCCGTCCACTCCACACCCACATGCGAGGGACAGTGCAGGTGGGCGACCCTGATCAAGGGCGGCGAGGCCGGGATCGATGTGATCGACGCGGCCGTGGCGGCGGTGTCGGGCTCGACCAGCCAGCCGAACCTCAACACGATCGTTGGTTCTCTCAAAGGCACGGAGCGCGACACCGGGCTCAGACCGACGCCTTTGGGCGACTGTTCGCTCTACTGGGAGACGGTCCGCACCTATTACAGGCCGTTCGACAACTCGCCCAAGTCCGGGAGCGCCCGGCTATACGACCACGAGATCCCGGGCGGCCAGTTCACCAACCTCCAGCAGCAGGCCGCGGCCCTGGGTCTCGGTCAACGCTGGCGGGAGGTCGAGGAGATGTATGCGGATGTCAACCGGATGCTGGGCGACATCGTCAAGGTGACTCCGTCCAGCAAGGTGTTAAGAGGCGATTTGACAACGTTCCAGAGGCCTGTCGGGTCGGTAGGAAAATAGACAAACCCTCAGGCTCACGGCTATTGAACGTGGGCAGGCGTGCGACAGGGGGGGGGAGGGTGGCAGCGAGCGTCGTTTACGCTTAGTGGGGGTTGAAGTATGGCTACGGGGGGGTTTGGGATATCGTGTGGGTGTATGGGGGGGGGGGAGGATGTCGGAGGGTGGTCACTGGGCACCAGTAATAGTGGTGTTGCGTGGTGAGTGCTTTGCGTCGGTCGACAGGCATGTTGGCGGGAGAGTGTCGGAGCAGGTGTCACCCTTAGGCTGGTGCTGATTGCGTTAAAGGAGCAGTGTGGGTCGCTCTTGGGAAGCTCTGACTGGGGGTGATCCAGTGTCAGGTTGACGGAGGATGTTTGCGAGGACTGCTTTTCGACGTGGGGTGGGCCGCAAGGTGGAGCAACCGGATGTCTCACATGCGGACGACTTAGAGAGGAGAGAATAATCGTGTCTGTTCGTGGGTCTGTAATTTTTCTTCTTTCCTGTTCCTGACTCCTGAACACCCGGCCCCGAGACGATTTGACTGGTGCGGCGTGCCCGATGTTGCTGAGCAGCGGCATCAGGGAAGGACAGATGCCGTACCGACTGGAGTGGTGCTCAGCAATCCAGATAGAGTCGAAGCCCACCTCTTCGGCGTATTCAACCTGGTCCATCATTTCGCCAAAGATACGGCTTTGGGCGCTGGTCTCCTGCTCTGTCCAGGAACCCAGCAAAAACAGGGCAAATTTCATAATGGGAAAGGGCCTCCTTCAATCTGGCCTGGAAAGAATGGCATAGGGCCGAGAGCGCTTAAGACCCTCGCGGTACTCGACCCGCCGCTCCGTTTCTCTAGGAGATACACATTCGCGGCTACGTGCCAAGAGCGTGTGGTCAGGCTGAGTTTATCTTCTAACGCCCTCTTGGGGCAACACTCGCACTTGTTCCGCTGGAACAGTTTGGAATGAGGACTCAGCCCACTCTCACTGCCTGCGACCGGTCGCTGCTATGCAGCAAGGGGGATATTGCGGTGGCGCCGATGGACAGGGCCAGCATCAAGATAAACGCTCCGTCATAGCTGCCCCAATGGTCGAAAATCAGCGCCCCGGCCAGCGCCCCCACTCCGCCGAAAATTTGGTGCACCATCGATATCGTGCCGCTTACCGTCCCCAGCCTCGTCGGTCCGAAAATTTCCCGCGAGAATATCACCGTAAGGGGAGCGGTCATCAGGAAGGTGAACCCGTAGAGCAGCGAAAACACCAGGATTGCCGGGGTGTTCTGCACTGCGATAATGAGCGCGAAAATCCCAATCCGCATTACAAAGCAAAGCAGCAGGGGGCGTTGCGCGCCGAGAGCGTCACACAACAGGCCGGCGCACAGCACTCCGATCAGGCCCATCAACCCCATCAGGGCCAGGATATTTCCCGCCAGCACCGTCCCTATGCCCGAGTCCTGGGCAAAGGCGACAACATGGGTAGCCATGAAGAAGTCCTGGAACCCGCAGACGGCGTAAAGGACCACCAGCAGCCAGAACTGGCCCGACGCGATAACAGAGGGCGGCCCCAGGGGAACTGCAAGCTGGGGCTCACTCACGTCCACCGAACCGTCCGTCGGGTCGCCGCCACGAGCGGAATCGGATTCGGTGCCAGGCCGGAATTTTAGTGCCACAAGAATCAACGGGATGGCGATTAGCAAGTTGGCGGCGCCCAGCAGGCCGAAAGCGTTCCTCCAACCCGTGTTGGTCAGGAAAGCCGCCAGCGTACCGATAATCACCAACTGTCCGGTGGCGTTGCCCGACACCGCCACGCTATTGGCAATCCCCCTCCGCCGCTCGAACCAACGGGTAATCATCACCCCCACTATGGGGTTGCCCGTAGCGGCGTGTCCCATGGCAAAGAGGACGCCGTAGATCAGGAATACCTGCCACGGCTCAGTTACCCGACCCATCAGGCCCACGCCCGCCGCCACTGCCATGGCCCCCAATGCCAGCACCCACCGCAGGCTGTACCGGTCCACCAGCCTTCCGGCCAGCGGCAATGCCAGGGCCGAGGTGAACATGAAGAAAGTAACGGCGAAAGAGAGAGTCGACCTGCTCCAGCCCAGATCCTCGGTCATCGGCTTCAGCATCAGCCCCAAGGCGAACCGTGAGCCGCCGCCGAAAAAGAGGATGAAAAACCCGGCGGCGAGTATCACCCAACTGAGGTTGAGTCGCTGCAAAGTCGTCTCCTCAATCTGCGAGCGGCAGGGCAGACGTGGCCTCTAAAGGGAAAGGCGGTCGCTGAACTCTACCACACCCATACTGGTGGAGGGCGCGGGCCTTACCCAGCCCGCTGCTGTTCAGCATTGATGAACGTTGCTGGCCTTCCTCCTTCATGGCGTCGACTGGCAATCTTCGCGCAACCGTTATTCCTGACCGTCATTCCTGCGAAGGAAGGAAGGTGGATGCTGTGGGGCCGAGGTTCCTGCTTCCGCAGGAACGACGTGGTTTTCCCAAGAGCTTCCTACCATTGCTCTGGATTTGGTGGTGGCATGGCCCCATAATTTAGGGTAAATTGATGGCATCACGGTGTAACATTCGAGAAACCTTCCGTAATCCCCAATTCCACCGCCGGCCTGAGGGCCATGCTTGAAGGAGGAGGCCATGCCAGAGACGATCAGGGAGGAGTACATCAGGAGAAACCCCCGCTCGGCAGAACTGTACCCCAGGTTCACAGAGCTGTTCCCATCGGGCGGCGCGGGCCACGACGGGTACGTAGCATCCCCCTTCCCCATCACCATTGCCAGGGGACAAGGGCCCCGCAAGTGGGATGTGGACGGGAATGAATATATCGACTACGGGCTGGGCTCCGCTTCGTTGCTGCTGGGCCACGCCCATCCCGAGGTGGTCGAGGCGTTGACCCAGGCCGCTCCCGTCGGCTCCCACTTTGGCGCGCCCGTGGAGTCCATGCTGGAGTGGGGCGAAAGGGTCTGCAACCTGATTCCCTGTGCCGACAAGGTGCGTTTCGTCGCATCGGGCGCTGAGTCCACCATGCTTGCCATGCGCATCGCCCGGGCCTACACCGGCAAGGAAAAGATTATCCGGTGGGAGTCCCACTACCACGGCTGGCACGACTACGCTATGCCCGGCAACCTGCCGCCCTTCGACGCTCCCGCATCCATCGGCATTCCCCAGGGAGCGGTGGACTCGGTCATAGTCCTGCCGGTGGACCTGAATGTCCTTGAGGAAACACTGGCCAACAACAACGACATTGCCGGCGTGATAACCGAGGGGTCGGGCGCGTCCTATGGCACGGTGCCGCGCCAGGAAGGCTTCGTGGAAGGCGTCAGGGAGCTGACTCGGAAGTACGGTGTCGTAATGATCCTGGACGAGGTCATTACCGGTTTCCGCTGGAGTCCCGGCGGCCTGCAGGAATGGCTCGGCATCGAACCGGACCTCTGCACCCTGGCCAAGATCCTGACCGGCGGCCTTCCCGGCGGCGCGGTGGCGGGCCGGGACGAGGTAATGCAGGTGATGGTACAGACCGGCGACCGGCAGCATGACCGGTACGAGCGGGTGCTCCACGGCGGCACCTTCAACGCCAACCCCTATTGCGCCGCCACCGGCAACGCGGCCCTGCGCATCGCCGCCACCGGCGAAATGCAGGCGCAAGCGGACCGCATGGCCGAGCGGCTGAGGGTGGGCCTGCGCCGCATAATGGACCACCACGAAATAGCTGCCACCGTTTATGGCGAGTCCTCCACCTTCCATCTCTACTTCGGCGGGCGGTCCATCGACGGCCTGGACGCCAACACGCTCAAGAACGCTTCCCCGGATGTCCAGACGGCCTTCCGGCAGGCGTTGCAGGTAAGGGGCGTTGACCTGATGTCCCGAACCAGCGGCGTCCTCTCCGGCGTGCACACCGAGGCGGACATCGACACCAGCCTGGAGGCCTTTGACGGGGCAATCAAGGCGATGATAGATGAGGGGATAGTAACCTGATTTACCAGGGGGCAATCGCGAACAATCGCCAAGTCATGCCAGCGTTACGGCTCCACCGTTTCTGCTGTATAGGAGGACAAGATGGCTGAATTACTAGGACTGGGATGTTCCCACGGCCCAATCATTCTGACCCCTCCCGAGGTATGGGCCAAGGGCAGGGAGCGGGTAATGGCCCGCGTACCGAATTACGAACCGCCCGCCCAGTTGATTGAAGAATTGGGCGATGACAATGGACTGAGCCAGGACATCAGTGACCACAAGAAGGTCGTCGAGTCGTTCAAGGTGCTTCGGGACCGTCTCCATGATTGGAATCCGGACGTCCTGATGGTAATCGGCGACGACCAGGCGGAGAACTTCCTGCAGGACAACCTGCCTCCCTTCTGCCTGTACACCGGCGCCGAAGTTGACGGCTATCCCTTCCAGCGCCCCGCGGCCCGTACCAACCTGTGGGACGCCGCCCCGGAGACGAAGTTCACCTTCCAGTGCCCCAAGGACTTTGCCAGGGGAATGCGCAACTTCCTGATCCGGGACGGGTTCGACATGTCCTCTTCCAGCGCCCTCAAGGGGTGGGACTGGGGCCTGGCCCACGCCATCATCAACCCGCTGGTGTACCTGGACCCCGACGGCAAATTCCCCCTGCTGCCCCTGTTCGTCAACTGCTACGGGGAAGAGGCCGGGCTCGATTACCCGCCGCGGCCCACGCCGAAACGGTGCTATGAACTGGGGCAGGGCATCCGCAGGTTCCTGGACACCAGGGACGAACGGGTTGCCGTGGTTGCCTCCTCCAGTTGGTCGCACAGTTTCCTGGCCCACAGGTTCCAGTGTATGTCCATCGACATCGAGACCGACCGGCGTTACCTGGATATGCTGCGCAAGGGTCAGGGAAGCAAGCTGGCGGAACTTACTCCCGAGGAACTCCAGGAGTCTGGAGACCACGAAATCCTGAACTGGATCATCGCCCTGGGCGTACTGGGCGACGTTCCCGCGGAAATCGTCGATGTGCGTGAGTCCCAAACCCAGCTGGCGTACCGCGTAGCTGCCATCTGGAACTGACTGCGTCTGTCTTGCCACTCTCTTGCCAGCAATTTGCCGCACCGGATGCCCACGCCGGTGCGGCAAAGCTTATCGGCCCACTCCCAAAGTCTGTGGCGGCGGACAAGGCGGTCCCGCCGAAATTGGTGCGCCGCATCTTGCGCTGAAGTCGAAGAGGAAGTGACATGGCGGACACCGAGGTCCTTGTTATTGGTGGTGGCATAGCCGGAGCTTCCGCTGCCTGGCGCCTCGCCGAACTCGGAAGCAGCGTTACCCTCCTTGAGCGGGGCGACATTGCATCTGAGTCCTCCGGTGTCAACGCCGGTGGCATCGGGGCACTGGGTTGGGGCCATGTGCCCAACCTGCAGTCCTATCTGACCATGGGCAGCCTCCAGATTTTCAAGCATCTGCAGCTCGAACTGGGCTACGACATAGAATTCCGTGCCTCGGGCGCCCTCCAGGCCATCCAGACAGCGGAGCAGTACGAATACGCCCGGGACAACGTGCTTTCCCTCAAGTCCCAGGGTTACACCCTGGAACTGCTTACGGTTAATGAGGCCCGCGGCCTGGAACCGGAACTGAACCCGGACTTGGTGGGCGTGGTGCACATTCCCCTGCGGGCCCAGGCCGACCCAGTCAAGGCCACCCGAGCCTTTGCCGCCGCTGCCGAACAGTCCGGCGCCCAAGTGTTGACCGGCCGGGAGGTGACGGCAATTACCTGCCAAGCCAACGGGGGCTTCCGTGTCGCCTGTTCCTCAGCCAGTTCCGGCGAAGTGCATACGGCAAAGCAGCTTGTCCTGGCTGCCGGCGCCTGGTGCGGCACCCTGGGAGAGATGCTGGGGCTGCGCATTCCAATTATTCCGGTTCGAGGCCAGATGTGGGCCTCCGAACCCCTGCCGCCAAGGGTTTTTCACTCCCTGTCAGCCGCCGAGTCGCCCCTGCACTGGACAGCCAGCCCGGGAAACGACGAAGGCAACGACGCCAGCACGCCACCGGAACTTACCCACCTTGGCAGTCGCCGCGTCACCAGGCACCTGTACGGACGCCAGACCAGGGACGGCGAACTTGTCTTTGGCGGCGACCGTCAGGTGGTTGGCTATGACAAGACGGTTGAAGACGCAGGTATCGAAGTGAATTTCGGCCACGTCAGGGAGCTTCTGCCAATGCTGGGCCAGCTATCCATCACCCGCACCTGGGCGGGCCTGATGCCCTTCTCCCTGGACGGCAAGCCGGTCATCGGCAAGATACCCCAAATGGAGAACCTCTACATTGTCAGTGGCCTGGCTTCATCAGGATTCGGGCGCGGCCCCATGGCCGGCAAGCTGATCGCCGATTATATTCATACCGGCCACCGGCCCCAGGTGTTGGCGGAGTCGGACCCGGCCAGGTGTGTTTCCGTCCTTGACTGACCACTTCCCATAAAACAGGGCAGCAAACAAAGGGATGAAGTATGACGAGCCTCGAGACCGCCTTTCAGGCAATCGACCTCTATGCTGAACATCGGATGCGACAGCTCAAGATGCCGGGATTGGCCATTGCGGTCACCGACCGGGAGAGGTTGCTCAAGTTGGCGACATTCGGATACGCCGACCTGGCGGGTGGCAAACCGATCCAGCCCGGCACAATGTTTGAGATTGGCTCCATCGGAAAGTCCTTTACCAACGTCGCCCTCTTGCAACTTCGCGATGAGGGTCGCCTCGACCTGCACGCCCCGGTATCAACATTCCTGCCGTGGTTCGAGGTGCAGTCCAGCTACGGGCCCATCACCACTCATCACCTGATGACCCACACTGCCGGCCTGCCCTCCGGCACCGACATCGGGCCCCACGGCCTCTACGAAGCCTGGGCCCTGCGGGACAGCCGGACCGGAACGCCACCCGGGGAGCATTTCCGCTACTCCAACGTCGGTTACAAGACCCTGGGGTTCCTCCTGGAAGAGCTGGACGGCCGCTCTTATGCGGAATCCATCCAGGCCCGTGTCCTCGACCCGCTGGGCATGCAGCGCTCCCATCCTGTCATCGGCCACGAGACGCGAAAACAGGCAGCCGTGGGTTACCGGAACTTCTACGACGACCGGCCCGAGCACGTGAGCCACGGACTGGTTCCCGCATTATGGACTGAATACGGAGTGGGCGATGGCTGCCAGGCAGCTACCGCCGAGGACATGACCATCTACCTGAGAATGTTCATGAACGGAGGTTCGGGTCCGGCGGGCCGAGTCATATCAGAGGACAGTTACCGCCTGATGACGCAGCGGGCAATAGCCAACCAGCAGTGGGGAGGGGCCCACTATGGCTACGGGCTCACCCTGGCCGATGTTGACGGGCACGCTTACCTGGGGCACAGCGGCAGCTCAACGGGCTTCGTGTCGGCCATGATTGGCGATCTGGATGACGGCCTGGGTGTGGTGGTCCTGGTCAATGGCCTTGTTCGGTCCTACGGCGCGGTGGATATGGCGCTGCACCTGCTGCGGCTTCTGCGAGCTGGGCTGCACGGACAGGAGCTTCCCTCTCCTCCTCTCGTTGCGGATCCGGAGTCCATAAGCAACGCTGCCGACTACGCAGGGAACTACGGCGCCGGAGAAAACCGCCTGGTAGTTGCCGCTAACGGCAATCAGTTGTCCCTTCAATGGGCCGGCATGGACATTACCCTGCATCGGCGCGGCGAGGACAGCTTTTACGTGCCTCACCCAGGTCTGGAGCGTTACCTGCTGGAATTCGGGCGCGACAATGAACGGGTTGTGGAGATTTTCCACGGTCCCAACTGGTACGTTGGGGAAGGTTATTCCGGGCCCGAGAGCTTCGACTATCCAGCAGAGTGGTACGCCTACCCCGGGCATTACCGGACCTACAACTTCGGCCTGACCAACTTCCGCATCGTGCTGCGAAAAGGCTCGCTGATTTTGATCTACCCAGCGGGAGGTCACGAGCCGCTGGTTCCCCTGGGGGACGGCCTTTTTCGCATCGGCGAAGACCCCCGCTCGCCGGAAACAGTCCGCTTTGACGCGGTGGCGTCGGGCCGGGCGTTACGTGCTGTATATTCCGGCTGTCCCTACTACCGTACTTACACGCCCTGAACAGAGACCATCGGTAGCCACAACACCGGCTGCCTCGCGACACAAGACTATCGATTTGGATTTGCAAGGAGGCGATCATGCCCATAGAACAGGTGTCACCAGAGCTGGAACGCATAGTGTCCCTGGGCCAGGATGTCGAGGTGCTGGGCACCGGCTACGAGGTTGGAGAAGGGCCGCTGTGGTGGAGCGAGGACCAGTGCCTGCTGTTCAGCGAGGTTCGGGGCGACCGCAGGCAGAAGTGGTCCGACGGCGAGGGCGTAACCCTGGTCCAGGAGCTTACCAATAACGCCAACGGCCTCACGCGGGACCCCCAGGGAAGGCTGGTAATGTGCGAGGGTGGGGCGCGGCGGGTGTCGCGGGTGGAAGCTGACGGCAGCGTTACGGTGATCGCCAGCAGCTACCATGGCCTCCCGTTGAACCGGCCCAACGACGTGGTGGTAAAGTCCGACGGCAGCATCTACTTCACTGACCCCGGCGGACCGGCCCCGGACACCGATCTGGACTTTTCCGGCGTCTATCGGGTCGCTGTGGACCTCAGCGCGATCAACCTGCTGGTGCGGGACTACGTCCTGCCCAACGGCCTCGCCTTTTCACCGGATGAGAGTGTCCTTTACATCAATGATTCCCTGGGCCTGCACGTCAACAATGACATGTTCCGCAGCATCGGCTACATCGATGCCTTTGACGTGCGGCCCAACGGGATGCTGGCCAACCGGCGGGTCTTCTGCGAACTGAGGGGCGAAGGGACCGGAATACCCGACGGCTTAAAAGTTGACGTGGAGGGCAACGTCTACTGCACCGGCCCCGGCGGGGTCTGGATCATGGACGCCACCGGCAAGCACCTGGGCACAATTCTTACCGAGGTGGCACATACGACCAACATCGCCTGGGGTGGCGATGACTGGAAAACCCTGTACATCACCACATTTGAAACTCTGGCTCGCATTGAGCTGAAGATACCCGGCCTGCCAGTTCCGGCGCTGGCGCCATAGAAATAGATGCGGGGCTATCAAGTTGCTGGGTTGCCGGCAACAGGGACACTCGGGAAAGCGGTTGGGCCCGGAGAGCATGCGGTGGTTATGGCTAACAGTCGCGTGAACTTGTAGGCGAGCCGCACCGCCGGGTCGTTGCCCTGCCGGCCCCCAAATGGCCCGTGTGCTCTTTTATCCCTCCCGACATGTCAGTTGTTCCGCATTGGCGGCCGATGCAGCAAACTGATGGGTAAGGGCGATTACCCACCGCTTAATGCGATCGTGCCACGGGTATGTCTTTCCAGGAATTTCACCTCTTCCCTCCCCGTCATCAACTTGCAAAACCCTGTTCTCGTTCATCCCCTCTTGTCGCTATCACCAGTTAGCCGCCAGTAATGCGCGTTGCCCGAGGACTCTCCACCTGCCAGGGTCCGGTTTAAATCGGTCAAGGGGGGTCTGCTTGCACCCCAACCTCGGTGCAAGGATCCGGGCGCCAGTGCAGGCCGAGAAGGGCAGTTCAATAGCTGAATGAAATTATTATGAAATAAAGAGCCACAGCATGGGCCGGACAAGCGGTTCTGGTATATTAGATAAGGCCAGCGAATTGCAAGACAGAGCACTCAACCCAAAAGTAGGGTCAGGAGTGACTATCGATGTCAACCGCAGGCAGCAAGCCCGCCAACGACCAGTTGCCTTCCCCGTTTCCCGAGGGTTGGTACTTCGTCACAAGCCGCTCGGCCCTCTTGAGGTCCCGGCTCATCCAGCGGACCTGGATGGGGGAGAACATTGTCGCCTAGAAGTCTGGCCGGGAACCCCGATTCTCCCCAACCCGCCGTTTTCTTAACGTCGATTGTCGATGTAACAGTGGGTTCTTGACACGTATTATATACATTACCATGCTGTATAAGACTGGAATACGTCTGCTGGGCGTAGCGCGAAATCCGGCCAATGGCTTTCCGGCCAGACTTCTAGT